GCTTCAAAGAGCTCGGCCTTAAGCTGTCACATGATTTGAACAGCACCCAAACTCAAAAGAGATCGGCCTTTAGCCATCACCATCTTTGAACAACGCCCGAACTCACAAGAGCTTGGCCTTAAACCGTCGCACCCTTTGAACAGCACCCGAACTCACAAGAGCTCAGCCTTAAGCCGTCACAACCTTTGAATAGCACCCGAGCTTCAAAGAGCTCGGCCTTAAGCCGTCACATGATTTGAACAGCACCCAAACTCACAAGAGCTCAGCCTTAAGCCATCACAATCTTTGAACAACGCCCGAACTCACAAGAGCTCGACCTTAAACCATCGCACCCTTTGAACAGCACCCGAACTCACAAGAGCTCGGCCTTAAGCCGTCACAATCTTTGAACAGCACCCGAACTCACAAGAGCTCGGCCTTAAGCTGTCACAACCTTTGAATAGCACCCGAGCATTAAATAGCTCGGCCTTAAGCCGTCACATGATTTGAACAGCACCCAAACTCACAAGAGCTCGGCCTTAAACCGTCGCACCCTTTGAAAAACACCCGAACTCACAAGAGCTCGGCCTTAAGCCGTCACACCCTATGAACATCACCCAAGCTTCAAAGAGCTCGGCCTTAAGCCGTCACACTTTCTGTTCTTCATTACGGGCCATTCACACTTAGTTCATTCATTGTTTCAAAAATAACTCCAAGGTATCCTTAATGCAACAACCAAAGCATAAATGTTTCAAAAACAATTCAGAGTTACAATCAAACCGGCAATAATACTTCTTGATATTAACAACATTTCAAGGCCCGAGAAAGACCTTACCTTCTGGATCCTTCAACTCATAAACCCCTCCAGTCAAAGCTTTCTAAAAAACCTCTCCCCAAATGGTTCAGCACATCCGCTCCATTACCTCATCCTTTGAGATGATCTCCGTTTTGGCCTCTTTGCCCTTGATCGAGCCCTCCTCCATAACTGTGCTCTCGTCTCTGCCTTGCCTTCAACAACGTTTGGTAATAGGTCCTAGCCAACCGTTGGTCCCTCGCGACCTCACTAACTAGCTCTCCCACCGGAAACTTCATCTTCACATAATATGTGGACACCGCCGCTTGGAGAGAGTTCAAGCTAGGCTCCAAAAGAAGAGATACCCAATGCCATTGTCAATTGTACTTCTCTCAGAGGTACCACTTCCGCCCCACTAAAGACAAACAACGATGTATTGATAGGTGTGATCTCAACACCTAGGTCCATCTGTCTGAAGCACCCATAAAACATGATATCTGCAGAGCTCCCTGTATCCACAAGTATTCTCCCGGCGTCATAGCTTGCAATCTCGACTGCCACTACTAGAGCATCATTGTAAGGCACCACCACTCCTTGGGTATCCTCTACACCAAACTTCAATTTCGGCATAGTCTGAGCAAATTTAACCTACGTTACACTCTCCCGATTAGCCTTCAAGTTAGCTCGCCTAGCACCATTTGAGTCACCATCAGTCGGCCCCCCAGCCATCATGTGGATTACCCCCTTTTAAGAGCTCTCTCACTCTGCTCCTCTTACCTCCTCTTCTTCTCTCCCACATCCGCATCATCCTTCTTCTCCCTATCCTGAACCACAAACTCCCTCAAGTGACCCGCTCTTATGAGCCTCTCTATCTCGTGCTTAAGCTCCTTACAATTGTTCGTCCAATGTCCATAATCACGATGGTACCTACAGTAAGGATCCCCTCGTACCGGCACCTTTCCTTCATTCTTAAATAGAGGTGAGGCTCCCCAAACATTTTAGCCTTATCTCATTCTTCCAAAATTTCATATACCTGCTCCCTTGATGATGTTAGTGGCGTGTAACGCTCATATTTGAAATTCATGCGCCCCCTATCATCATCCATATGCTCCCTATATCCTGACTTTCTCTCCTCCTGTCAGTGATTCTCATCTTGTTTTTTCCCGCGGCTCGCTCCTGTGCAAGAAAATCCGCATCAGTTTCCTTCATGTTCATATACTTGGTACACCTCTCCAGTAACTCCTCATAAGATTTAGCAGGCTTCTTGGCTAATGAGTTTCTGCAGTGACCCGCCTTCAACCCTCGCGTGAGTCCTGCTACCTTAATCTCTTCCGTAGCTGTAGGCACCTCCACATACGTCCGCGTGAACCGAGCCACATACTCCCTAAGAGACTCATTCTCACGCTTTTGGATGTTCATCAATGACATGTACTTATTTTCATGCTTCCGTGCGCTGGAAAACTGATTGATAAATAATGAGCTAAACGCCTCAAAGCTGTAGACGGATCCCCCCGGCAACTGGTGGAACCAATCTTGAGCAGAGCCCTTCAAGGTAGTCAAAAAGGCCCTGCAACACACACCATCACTGTAACGATGTAAGACAACCACATTCTCAAAGTTCCTCAAATGTCTAGCTGGATCGGAAGACCCTTCATAGTATATGCTTGGCTCCTTGATGTTTTGAGGTAAGTCGGCACCCAACACATCATCCGTAAAGGGGTGACCCTGCATTCTGGGCTGCCGCCTACCCTCCACTTTAGCTTGGAGCTCCCTTATCTGGTTCACCATCTGCTCCAGCATCACGTCTCTGGATGTCCTGTGAACCATCAGCGACATCACCGACCTCTCCACCGGCTCATCCCTCCGATGACTACCACCTCTATACAACCTAGACCTCACCGGTATGTGTTGTCCCACCATTCCGACTTGCATTCCTCTTGGTTGCCACATCACCAGCTCCAGTTGCTCATAGCTTGCAATCTCTGCTGCCACTACTGGCCTCTCCACCACCGCTACAACTTGCCTATCCAACGCCACAACTGGCCTTTCTACCACCACCTGAGCGCGCGTCTCCAAAGCACTTTCAATTGCCTCCGCAATGAGACGATCCAACTCCATTCTGGTCACCCGCATCTCTGACTCACCTCCTCCTTGCACAACCCCTAGACCAGGCGTCTGCACCACTACCTCTTGGCCCCTCCCTTGGTTCACCATCCCCTGATCTGGCTCCGGTGCCGGCATCTGGTTTACCCCTTGCAACGCCATGTGAGGGGTAGCCATCGAGCTCTCCCCTCTGCTTCATCCAACCGGTGGTCGACCCCCATAAGGCGTCTTCGTCATCCAAGCCTCATTCATGCTCGCCTCGAAGTTCCTCCTCAGTTTCTCATCTCCGATTGTCTTCTCCATCTCAGCTTTCACCCAATCAGTAGAATAACTAGGTATCCCACAGACGGCGCCAATTGATAACACTCCTGCACCCCAACCCGGTTCTCCTCCGCTCCTCGTCCGGTCCGAGCTCTCCAAGACCTGCAATGACGCCGGGAGATGCTCCCGGCGGTAAACCTCCGACGCTCAAGTCAGTAAGGAGTAAAGGAAAATCGTCTATAACTGCAAGTAGTATTAGGGCTTTAGGTGTGTTAGTTTTTGGCGCCGATAATATGATATATGATATATATGATATATCATAAATAAAAATAAAATACAAACAAAAAAGGGTATGAAATTTAAGAAATATGAAGAATAAATATTTATAATAATTGATGTATGAATTAAATAAGAAAATAAAGTTTAATATATAGTAATGTAGGAAAAGGAAATTTGAAATAGTTTATGGTAAGTAATTGTAGAATTAAAAAAGGAAGAGATCAATTAGAACTTAATTTGAATGATATAGAAATTAAATAAAATTTAAACGTACTTATTTTGTATAAAAAATATTAATCTATTATCCAAGTCTGACTCCAAAGCACAATTTTTGTCACATAGATTTTAAAAGCATGAGAGCATGACACTTATGCTCAACGTATTCTGTAATTATATATATGGTGGATTGTGTTGCTCGCTAAATTAGTTTGGGCATAATATTTATAGGCATTTTCTTTTTTT